AGGGTTACACCTTCAGTCTTGGTTCCGGCTCTGTCTCGTGGCGGGCCACTCGTTCGTCTTCGGTTCTCAGCTCCAGTTGTGAGGCTGAGATCTACGCCGGGGCGATGGCTGCACAGGAGCTTCGCTGGCTCACCTACCTGCTGACTGACCTTGGAGAGCCGCCTCGTTCTCCTCCAGTGCTGTACGTAGACAACAAGGCCATGCTGGCCTTGTGTCGAGAGCAGCGCCTGGAGCACAGAACGAAGCACATTGCTCTTCGCTACTTCCTTGCTCGTGAGCTACAGCAGCGTGGACAGCTACGGCTTGCGTACGTGGCCTCTGAGGCCAACACTGCTGATGTGTTCACCAAGGCACTCGCGCCTTGTGACCATCAGCGCTTTTGTACCCAGTTGGGTCTTGTGCCTGTCTTGCCTCACTTGCTCTACTCTTGACTTTACTTGTACTGTGACATATATATACATGCTCTTGCTTGTCTAGTGTTATATATATGTCTGTACTCTTGCATGTGAACTGGCCTTTGGCCTTGCTCTTGTGCTCGGACTGTGTGGTGACTTTGTGATCCACCCTGAGCTTTGCTTTGCTTTGCTTCACTGGTCTTGTGACCCCTTGTTCTCCCCCACTTTGCCTATGGGGGTGTGTCAGATTACTATAGCTGATGCATGTTTGTAGGCCATAGTGGGGTAGCACATATGGGGTACAGCTTTCTAGGGTTGTATTTGTACCCAACTCTGAGTTAGTCATTTCATTCCTGCTCATTTATTTTCACACTATCCCCGCAATAGCCTTTTCAAATCAGATCCAACCAACACTATAAAGTGGCATATATTACATGCTGATTTCTACATGTTGTCTTTTTTTTTTTTTTTTTTTGCACATATGAGAAATGCTTCGCAACCCTAAGACGATTTCGTCGCCTCTTGTTTTTTTTTTTTTCTTTTTTTTTTTTTTTCGACTCCCCGACAATATCGCGAAATCGCCGTTCACCCAGCGTCCGCATCTGCCGGTTGAAGTATAAGGTTGAAATTTCCCGCGCGATAATGTGGCTACGATGAAGGCGCAAATGCTATCAGAGTCGGGGCAGTTCTATTTAAAAAACTCACACCCAACCGCTTTGCAGCCCACCAGCCTACCACGCCACGTAATGCCGCGGGTTCTGGGTCTCAGCTTTGCCGCTGCGCCGTCAACTCGTTTAGACGCTTGGTTCAGGAGAAACCAGTTAACTGCACCGTTTGTTGTCCTTGCAGCTCCCCGACTTTTTTCGCGTGCCGTTCACCCAGCCCGCTTTTGTCAGAGTAGAACAGTGCAGCGAACTCTTTTTTTTTTTTTTTTTTTTTTTTTTTTTTGGTATTTTGGTGCAGCTGTCGAACGGGCACCATCCAGGTGCCTTTAACCAGCACAGGGTAGGCACATGTTTACCCCCGTTATTCGGCCAAGTAAGTTGACTGCATGGGTCATAACTAAGACTTGGTGGGGATGGTGAGGTTCGGGCAAAGTAGGCAGCAAATCGGTTCCACCGGCTTCTAATCTGCTCCCCACGACGTTCTTCAACCCCCGCTTAGCCGTCGGGCAGTTTCTTCTCGTGTGTTCCGGCTGTCAAACGTCATATCTGCTATAGTTTGTTTAGGCTGTAGTGGGGTAGTTACTATGGGGTAAAGTAAGTTTAGGGTTTCCTACTTGTACCCAACTCTTTCCTAGTTCAATCACCCTTGTTCAAACTGACATGGTATCGCGAGCCTAGGTTGCCACCTAGGACCGCTTACTACTACGGGCCCACTATTCCGCTAGAAGCGCCCTCGTGCGCCCTACCTTACGTGCGCCCTCGTGCGCCTTTCTCTCCTCGTGCGCCCTCGTGCGACTCGCCCTTCATTCTGCCTGCGCGCCGTCTTGCAGCCCTCCTGCTGCCCTAGGCCAGTGCGCCGCCCCTGCAAGCTAGTAAGGCCCTCGAGCTGCCCCTGCAGGTCCGTCAGGCCCCCGAGCCGCCTCTGCAGACCCGTCAGGCCCCCGAGCCGCCTCTGCAGGCCCGACAGGCCCCCGAGCCGCCTCTGCAGGCCCGTCAGGCCCGAGAGCCGCCCCTGCAGGCCCGTCAGGTCGGCGTGCTGCCCCTGCAGGATCACGCCGCCCCTGCAGGCCCTCGCTGCCGGCACGCAGCCTCTGCAGGCCCGTCAGGCTAGCGCGCGACCCCGTCAAGTCGCGGTCGCGGCCCCGTCAGGCCACGGTCGCGGCCCCGCCTGGTCGCGGTCGCGGCCCCGCCCTGCCGCCGACGCGGACGCGGCCCCGCCCTGCCGTGACGCGGCTACGCCAGCCCTGCAGCTGACGCGGCCGCGCCCTACTGCTGACGTGGCCGCGCCCAGCTGTTGACGCGTCGTCGCCCCCCTGCCCGCCGCGTCGCCCTGCCCGCGGCGTCGCCCCTGCCCGCGTTGTTGCCCCCTGCCCGCCGCGTCGCCCCTGCCCACGGAGTCGCCCTGCCCGCCGCGTCGCCCTGCCCGCGTCGTCGCCCCTGCCCGCGGCGTCGCCCTGCCCGCCGCGTCGCCCTGCTCGCCGCGTCGCCCCTGCCCGCCGCGTCGCCCCCGCCCGCCGCATCGCCCTGCCCTACCCCTGGCCCCTGGAGCAGCCGCCCCTGGAGCAGCCGCCCTTGCAGCAGCCGCCCCTGGCCCTTGGAGCAGCCGCCACTGCAGCAGCCGCCCTTGGCCCCTGGAGCAGCCGCACCTGCAGCCGCCCCTGGCCCCTGGAGTGGCCGCCCCTGCAGCAGCCGCCCCTGGCCACGTGAGCAGCCACCACTGCAGGAGCCGCCCCTGGCCCCTGGAGCAGCCGCCCCTGGAGCAGCCGCCCCTGCAGCAGCGACCGTCTCGGAGTTGCCTGCCGCGGTCGCGGCCCCGCCCTGCCGCTGTAGCGGCCCCGCAGTCGCCTCCGTCGTGTGCATGCCCTTCCCACCACTGGTGAGCACTGCCCTGCTTGTGCTGATACTGCTGTTACTGCTGCTGCTACTGCTACTGCTGCTCCTGCTTCTACTGCTGCTCCTGGCGTGGCCAGATGCGGCTCCAGGGCCGTCTGCGTGTTCCCTCACGCCCCAGCAGCTTCGTGAGTGGTACGCCAGTTGGGGTTGTCGGGGTGGCGGTAGTGGGAGTCGTCCTGAAGTGGGTAGTTTGGGAGCTTCTTGTAGTGGCCCTATGCAGCAGCAGCGTCGTCCGCGCGAGACTCTTTTGCCCCAGGAGCTTCGTGAGTGGTACGCTCAGAGTAGAGGGTCGCTGAGTGGTGCTCACTGTCAGTACGTTATTAGCACGGGTGTCCGGACTGGTCAGCCTTGCGGGACGCGTGGTCACACAGAGTCCCGCTGCTTCGCCCGTCTGAGCGACGCTTGGCGTACAGAGTTTGGCGACGACGCTGAGCTCACTGACTGGGTGGAGCTGCTTAGGCAGAGGGTAGACATCTTTGCTCTTGACTATGATGTTGTTCTCACTGCAATGTATGCATTGTCTACTAGTGCCGAGGGAGCCTGTCACCTGTGTGTGCCGCCTGACCCCGGTATCCAATCTGCTGCTCCAGGTGCCGGTGGGGCTGCCGCTCTAGGTGCTAGCGCGTCTGCTGCCCCAGGTCCTGGTGAGGTTGCTGCTCTAGGTGCAGGTGTGTCTGCTGCTTCAGGTGCTTGTGAGTTTGCGCCTTCAGGTATTGCGTCTACTGAGGCACTGCACACCTTCACACTGGACTCAGGTGCTTCCTGCTGTTTCTTTCGCGACTGCACTGCCCTTGAGCAGCTCCCTAGGCCGGTTGCTGTCTCCCTGGCTGACCCCTCCGGGGGTCCGGTCCTTGCGACCTCCACTACTACCCTCCCTTGTCCTGCTGTCCCGTCCGGCACACTGTCGGGCCTTTACCTCCCCTCATTCTCTACTAACTTGGTGGCGGGTTCCCCGCTCCAGGACGCGGGTGTTCACCAGTTCACCCATGCCTACGAGCGTGTGATACACTGCATGTGTGCCCAGACGGGTTGTCACCTGGCTACCTTCACTCGGCAGCCGGGGTCGGACTTGTACACACTGACCACTGAGTCCCCTCGAGTAGCGGCGTCTGCGTCTGCGTCAGGTTAGATGTCCACCCCCTGCTCGTGTCGCACCCTGTCACACCGGACGGTCCGATGGCACCACCGCCTTGGTCACCCTTCGATGCAGCGCCTTCGTGGCATGCACTCTCGCTTCCTTGTCTCTGGTCTCCCCAGGTCACTGCCTCCCCTGCCACCGTCCCCTGCCCCTCCCTGCCTTCCCTGTGTCGAGGGGCGGCAGCGTGCCACCCCTCACTCCTCTAAGTTCCCCCCGACAGAGGCTCCTCTGCAGACCCTTCACATGGACGTGTGGGGCCCAGCCCGCGTCCGTGGACAGGGCGGATAGCGCTACTTCCTGCTGGTAGTTGACGACTACACGCGTTACACCACGGTCTTCCCCTTGCGCACAAAGGGAGAGGTCAAGAATATTCAAAAGCCGGACTTAGGCCTGAGGCCAGTGATCCGCTTCTTACAAACATCGGGTTACACCGATGCTAACCTGATGCTAACCTCGAGCTCGCCGCCATGGCGGCTGTCCGTTTGCCTGGAACTCACATTGCGTGAAGCTCGATTATCAGCTGGCTTTAATTTTTCCGGCATTGACATCGCTGCACCTTTACGAAGAAGTCTATACCTATTTTGTGTTCATCAAACGAACATTGCGTGGATTTCTCAAGGGTGTCCTACGCTGGATCATGAATCAAAGCTCAAGGCTATTGCGCGGTTCTCAAGGCTGAGACAACATAGCAAGGAACCACCTAAGCTAACATCCATTGGCTATGCAGATGCTGTTCATCGGGATGATCCCGAAGTTTTATCTTCAGCGTCACAACACTTTTGTCAGGAGGAATGGTCTTCCACAGACGCTTCATTACTACTTAACTCTGTCGTGCTCAGAATACTGGCTCATCAGTTCCTTCAACTCTTCCACTCAGAGTTTCTGCCAGTTTATCCTCAACATTGCACGATGCCTCCGAAAACCTCTCGTGCTAAGGCGGTGGTCAATGCTCCTGCTGGTGATGGTGATTCTGCAAGCAAGTCGACACCAAGCAAGGGGAAGGAAGTCATTGACAACCTGTCGTCAGAAGCAGAAGTGACGGCAGGAAGCTCTGGTCTCACCATTGAGGAAAAACTGCAAGTGCTGGCATCGGTTGCTTCGGATGACACATTCATTGAAGATGACTCGGACGAAGAGCTTGACATTGACACGACCAACAACGCTCACCCGCATTTGCGCTTCACGGCTATACTGCTCTTCCCGGTTATCCCCTCTCGCGAGGTTGCTTCAGTGATTCTGGCCGTGAGGATGCTGATGAAGCGTGTCTGGACTAACCTGCTCACTGATGATGTCCTCGCTTCGGTGAAGTTCCAAGAGCTGTCCCCCACGTGGGTCGCGAAGTCCCGCTACAGCCGGCTTCAGGTCTCCTTCCTGCACGAATCTGACGCGGTGAAAATCAAGCAAACGGCGGTGGAACACAAGCGTCAGAACGGATTGACTCTTCACTGCTTCTGGCTGCACCAGGAGGATGCTGCTTACCTTTGCAAGAAGGCTTCGGGGCCGCAGCTGCTGGAGGTTAATTTCAAGGATGTTCCAGCGGATATCCCGCCGGAGTTGGTCAAGGAGGTCATGGTGGATCACCCGCTCAGGATGAGGAAGCAGTCTGCATTTGCTGAAGGTCACTGCTTCCACCGCGTCCTTCACCCTGTCACCGGCGCTGACACTGATCGGATCAAGGGGCTGGTGATTCAGCATGCTGGCGACAAGCATCGCTGACGTCACGAGTTTCGTCATCAGCTGCTGGGAGGGACGACACTGTTGGCCCACTACCCGTTGCTATCCTGTCCGCTCTGTGGTGGTCATCATTATGACAAGTTTCATAATGTTTTTATCACGGAGCGTCAGAATAGCATATGGAAGTGGAGTTTAACTGTGGGTCGGGTCCATGGGATCAATGGTAACCGCAACTTACGTTTGTTGGGTTGTCATTTTATCTTACCTATCTTTTCAGTCACTGATGCACCGCTCCCCCTTTGCAGCTGCCTCACTCCGCACTTCTCCGCTGATTACACCGTTACTGCTGGATGCGGCTTTCGTCCTGATCTCAACTGGGAGCAACCGAGAAGAATAGTTGTGCACCCTCGAGAGCTGCGGAAAGACTCATGGCAAGTCCTTCATGGCTGCTGCGGATCACATCACGTCGGCAAGCCATCTGCTGGGTCTGGAGAAGCTGGGTGCGGCCACTCGCCGTTCCCTGGAGAAGCTTGGTCTGCACGTCATCCGGAAAGAGTACCAGATCTGAGCTGCTTACCTGCATGTCGGAGGCAGAGAGTTGTAGCATTGGCGATTTCTCACGGTTGTGTTGTTGTTCCTGATTGTACCTGCCCGTGGATGCGAAGGGGCCTTGCAGTAGTGGTCAAATGAATACAAAAAGTATTCTTTCGTTTGCGGGCCTGAATGTCAACGGCCTGGGAGATGGGAACAAGCAACAGCGAACAAAGAACTGGTTGAAGCAGGCAGCAGATATCGTTATACTGTCCGACTCTAGGCTCTCTGGTGATCACCCTTACTGGACCTCACTCCGGCAGATCCTGGTCGCCTCTCCCACAGCCAAGGCTGGTGGGGTTGCTTTGATCTGTCGGAGGCATGGAATGTCATTACACAACACCCTCATTCATCCGTCCGGCCGGCTGGTAGCGGCTGAACTTCATCTCGACTCTTTCATCATTACCTTGGTTGCGGTCTACTTCCCGGCCGACGCGGCTGAGCGCAAGGTGTTCATCCGCAGAGTGTTTGGCCCGGTGGTTGACGCAGTGCAGCCAGGCTCTCACCTGCTCATCATGGGGGATTTCAACTTGGTGGAGGATCCGTTGTTGGATCGGACATCGAGGAAAGGAACCACGAAGGAAAATGAGGAGTTGTACCGTCGCTGTGACGTATTTCGTCTCTCGGACGCCTTTCGTGTACTGCATCCGTACAAGAGGGAATTTACCTTCTACTCCTGCGCAAATCAATCCAGCTCGCGTATAGACATGGCACTTATCTCACATTCGTTGCTGGCGCATGTGGAGTTCGTCTCGCATATCATGCCGGCCGACCCCATCTCCGACCACAGTTTTGCAGTGAAGGCGGCTTTCCGGATGAACACGCGGGTGCAGTTGGGCCCAGGGCTCTAGAGGCTACCTGCATACATGCTAGACAGGCCGGGGGTCAGAAAGGTGATTGAGGCTGTGGAGCGGCAGGCAGAGTCATGCGGGGAGGGCTTTGAGCTTCTAATCTCTCGCCTTAACACCGCTTTGCGTGCGTACGCGAACGAGGAGCGGAAGAGGGTCAGAGCCACGATGGCCCATCTTCACCGGTCGGTTGCGGAGCTGAAGCAGGCTTGGATGGGTGACCCGGGGTGCGCTCGGCTCAAAAGTTTGCTGGTTGAAAAGGAGGCGCAGCTGAAGGGGTATCAGCTGGCTCGACAGGAGAGGCTGCATGTAATGGCAGGGATGAAGGAAGAAGTCATGGGTGAAGTGGCTTCACCGCACCTATCAGCAAAAATCAAGGCCAGGAAGGGACGGACGCAGATCACGGAGTTAAACGCAGGCTGGAGACTGCTGAATGACAAGAGCGCTATTTTGGGGGCTGCGTCACAATACTATACGGAGCTGTTCGGCCGTGACAGGAAGCATGCTGAGTCAGCCTGGTCGCCTGCTCCTAGGAGGTCCTTGTGTCAGAACATTATAGCTTACTTATTTGTGTAGGCTATAATGGGGTATCCCATAGGGGGTACCACCCAGTTAGGGTTTCCTATTTGTACTCACTTCGTTCATAGTCATTTCATTCTCGTTCAATTCTTCTCATGGAATCAGAGCAGGTCCCCTCCTAGGGACTGTTCCTAGGGCCCACCGAAGCGCGTCCCGAGGCGCGCGTTCTTTTTTTTAGCGACCCTGCGTGTCGCCCTTACCGTCGCACTCCCGCCGCTCTCTCCTCGTCGGCCCCGCTTAGGCCCCGTTACGGCCCCGCGTCGGCCCCGCTTAGGCCCAGTCGGCCCGCTTAGGCCCCGCTACGGCCCCTCGTCGGCCCCGCCTAGACCCCGTCGGCCCGCTTAGGCCCCAGCTACGGCCCCGCGTCGGCCCCACTTAGGCCCTGTCGGCCCCGCTTAGGCCTCGTCGGCCCCGCTTAGGCCCCGCTACGGCCCCGCGTCGGCCCCGCTTAGGCCTCGTCGGCCCCGCTTAGGCCCCGTCAGCCCGCTTAGGCCCCGCTACAGCCCCTCGTCGGCCCCGCCTAGACCCCGTCGGCCCGCTTAGGCCCCGCTACAGCCTCGCGTCGGCCCCGGTTAGGCCCCGTCGGCCCCGCTTAGGCCCCACTACGTCCCCACTACGGCCCCGCTACGGCCCCGTCGGCTCCGTCGGCCCCGTCTAAGCCCCGCCGACCCTGCTACGGCCCCGCTACAGCCCGCCGTCGGCCCCGCTACAGCCCGCCGTCGGCCCCGCTACAGCCCGCCGTCGGCCCCTGCTACAGCCCCGCTACAGCCCCGCTACGGCCCGCCGTCGGCCCTGCCGCCCGTGCTGCAGCCCGCCGCGCCACAGTGCAGCCGCCCGTGCAGCCGCCCACCGTGCCGCCCGTGAGCCGCCCCAGCCGCCCGTGAGCCGCCCGTGCAGCCGCCCGCGCCGCTCGTGAGCCCCTGCGTCACCCGACTCGCGCGAGCCGCCTGAGCCGCCCGAGCCGCCCGAGCCGCCCGAGCCGCCCGAGCCGCCAGAGGAGCCGCACTCCTGCTCCTGTGGGGCTACTGCTGCTCCTGGGCTGTGTTACTGTGCCGCTGACTAACCCGACTTTTCCTGCCCGGTGAGACTGTCAGCTGCTGTCATGGCCACCCCCAATGTCCTAGCTTTTGACGCTGAGGGTAGAGCCATTGAATTTGCAGTCTGGATTGAAGACCTGCAGCTGTACTTACTGTGTGATGCGATAGATGAGGTCTCTCTCTTTGACTTTGTCTCTGGCGCTGTCCCTGCCCCTCCTGCTGATGCTGACTCCGCCGTTCGCTCCAAGTGGGCGACCCACGATGCTGCTGCACGTCTTGCTGTGCGTCGCCACCTCCCTTCCTCCGAGCGTGCCCACTTTAGTCAGTGCAAGACCGCTCAGGCCTTGTACGACGCTGTAGTTGCACGCTACTCCTCCCCTTCCTCCGCTACGCTGAGCCGCCTCATGCTACCGTTTCTCTTCCCTGACCTCGCTGCCTTTCCCACTGTCGCTGACCTCGTTACCCACCTCCGCGCTAGTGACGCTCGCTACCGCGCTACCCTTCCTGCTGAGTTCCGCGCCGCAAACCCTCCTCCCATGTACATCACTCTCTACTTTCTCGTCACCCGCCTCCCTGAGTCCCTTCGTGTCGTTCGGGACCAGTTTCTCTCTGTCTGTCCCACCACCCTCACTGTCGACCTCCTTGAGGAGTCCCTGCTAGCGGCTGAGAAGAGCATCGTCGCTGTAGGGGCCTCTCGGGGTGACCCTCGCACCCCCATCTTTGAGGGGTGTTCTCCTTCCCCCCTGCTGCCCTCTGTCGCCTCTGCCGCTGCGGCCGACCTCGCTGGTTTTGAGCCGGTCGGTGCGGCGTCTGCCCCCAGCGGTAGACGCCGCCCTGGCAAGGGCAAGGGGGGCAAGGGAGCGTGTGGAGCTATAGGGGGCGGTGGCGGGGGAGGTGGGGGTGGCGGGGGGAGTGGGGGTGGCGGTGGAGGTGGTGGCGGGAGTGGAGGTACTGGTGGAGGCTGTGGAGGCGGAGGTGGCGGCGGAGGAGGTAGCGGAGGAGGCGGGGGCGAGGGTGCCGGTGGGGGCGGTGGCGGTGGAGACAGGGGTGGCGGTGGAGGCAGGAGTGGCGGTGGCGGCGGGGGTCGGAGTAGCTCGTCTCAGCGGGGCGGCTCTGGGGGTGGTCAGCGCCAGCAGCAGCAGCACCAGCAGCAGCCACAGCAGCAGCAGCAGCCACAGCAGTAGCAGCAGCGCTCTTGCACCGTCCCCGCCCCTCAGCAGCTCCGTGAGTGGTACTTGCAGCGTCAGCGTGGTGGTGCGTTTGGTCCCTGCCCCTACGTTCTTCGCACCGGCGACCGTGCGGGGGAGAGGTGTGGAGGCACCCACACAGCCCGCCGCTGCTTTGGCCGCCTGACCGACGCCTGGCGTCAGCAGTTTCCGGAGGCCGCTGAGATCCCCCGCTGGGGGGAGCTGTCTAGGGCTGGTGTAGCTATTTATGATCTTGACTTTGATGCTATTCTCTCTGCTATGTATGCTGTGACTGGTAGTGATGAGGATGACAGTTACCGGTGTTTCCCGCCCGACCCGGGCATTGATACTGCTGCGTCAGGTGCTAGTGAGGCTGCTGCTCTAAGTGCCAGTGCGTCTGTGCTCTCAGGTACTGGTGAGTCTGCCCTCTCAGGTAATGTGTCGGCTTCGGCCTCTCACACCTTCACCCTTGACTCTGGAGCGTCTCACTCCTTCTTTCGGGACCGCACCACTCTCACGCCGCTGAGTCGACCGGTAGCGGTATCCCTGGCTGACCCCTCTGGGGGGCCTGTCCTGTCTCACTTCTCCACGGTCCTTCCGTGCCCGGCGGCCCCCTCTGGCACCCTGTCTGGTCTCTACCTCCCCTCGTTCTCGACGAACCTGGTGAGTGGTGCTGACCTACAGGATGCGGGTGTCCACCAGTTCACTCCTGCTCGTCAGCGGGTGACCCACTGCACGGAGGCTAGCACGGGACGCCACCTGGCTACGTTTACACGTCGGCCAGGGTCGAGCCTGTACACACTGACCACTGCTTCTCCGCCAGGTGCTGAGTCTGGTAGGGTCCCTTCGTCTGGTCAGGTGTTTGCCGCAGCGTCCAGGTCTGGTCCTGAGTCTGCCCCCTGTTCGTGTCGTCGTCTGTCTCACGAGACCCTCCTCTGGCACCACCGCCTTGGCCACCCCTCTCTGCTTCGGCTCAGAGGCATGGCCTCCCGTCTTCTTGTGTCTGGTCTCCCCCGGTCTCTACCTCCCCTTCCTCAGGGCCCTGGCCCTGCCTGTGTCCCCTGTGTCGAGGGGCGCCAGCGTGCTGCCCCTCACTCCTCCCAGTTTCCTCCGACAGAGGCCCCGTTTCAGACGCTTCACCTGGACGTGTGGGGCCCAGCCCGCGTCCGTGGACAGGGTCAGGAGCGCTACTTCCTGCTCGTTGTTGACGACTACTCGCGTTACACCACAGTCTTCCCCTTGCGCAGCAAGGGTGAGGTTACTGAGGTGCTGATCGACTGGATCCGCGCAGCTCGTCTTCAACTCAGGCAGAGCTTTGGCTCCGAC